CTGCCACAGCAGCTGATATTTCCTGAACTCAATCCTGGCCTTTAGAAGCTGTAACCACCTCTGGCTGATCAGATCAGCTTACACCACTGGTGTGAAGTCAGTTTTTCTTTGCCTCTTTCTCCTCAAGAGGCCAGGAAACCTGAATGTGATATGGCTCCAGCTCTTCTGGAGTGACATAGTCTGGAGCATTGCCCATCAGGTCTCGTCCCCTGAAGGATTTTGGAAAGGCAATGACGTCCCGGATACTTGGAGCGTCAACAATGAGAGAGATCAGCCTGTCAAGTCCTACAAGCAGAAAACAAATTGGTCAAACATTTGAGTTATGGCTCTGTATTACCTCCCCTGAGTCAGAAAAATCAGAAAGATTGAGGAGGTAATATCACTGAGCTTGAAGAAAAAGAGTGAAGCAAGTTAAGGGAGGGGAAAAATTAATCTCAGCTGGTAGCAGAGAAAGAGATTTGCCTCGAGAGCAGAAATGTCTACCAAAATAAAGCTTTTCAATATTGCAGGAAGCTCTGTAACACGCTAAGGGCTGCAGGACACAGACAGCAAACACAGCATAACAAAACTTGGGCAGCTGAATGGCAGAACACTGGCAGGGCTCTGCTTTACAGCTCAGGGCTCTGCAGCAAGCAGTTTGGAAGGATTACAACTACTGAGAATTCAAGAGGAACAAAAGGCTCTGGGTGACTGGATGGAGGAAAGTCAAACTGCAAGACCACAGGTTAAAAAAAATATCTCCATTCTTTGTAGGCTTTTTTATTTTGATGAGTGTAGGGAGGGTGTTGTTGGTTGGTTGGTTGGTTGGGTTTTTTCCCCTCTTTCTTTAAACCGTGAACTTGCATTGTTCTAGGGAAAAAACCAAACCCCTACATTTTCTGAACTAATGAGCAAAACAGGTGAGGAGAGAAGGGAAGTGAGATGGCAGCAGAGGGGAAGGGTGTGAAACACAAAGTGCCATTTCTGTCCCATGCCTCCAGGCAGGCAGCAGAGGGATCCTGCTCTGGCTGCACAGGAATGGGAACAAAGCTGACTCAACCTCACTGAATATTGGGTTTGCAGAGCCCTAAACCCCACTGTGACTCTGGAGAGGAACACCCCAACTTTCTGCTCTTGGTGACCAGACCTCTGTTTCTTTCCACAAAGCTGCTGCAGAGATGGAAGCAGCAAGGCTTTTCCTAACAACCATGAGCCTTGTTCCCTGGATCTAGTATTAAAAAAAGCCACCAAACAAACAAAAAATCCCCAACCAAACCAAACCCAAAAACCCCACTAAAGACCTGCATGTGCAGAGCTACAGATCACTTACCTAAAGCAATTCCTCCATGAGGTGGAGCTCCAAATTCCAAAGCCTCAATCAGATGGGAAAGCACCTCAGAGTCCTCCTGCAAAATCACATTAAGAGGTGTCACTGGACAAGCAATGCTCCTCCTGTTAGCAACACAAGATGAAGGTACAATGAAATCATCCATTGCTCAAGGCTAGGAATTATGTCTTTATCTGACAAGATGAGTGTTTCTTTCAAACTATGTAATTAATATTTCAATTAATCAGTGCTTTTAAATCTCCAAGAGATCATTAGAGGCATCTGTAGGTGTTACCTTCAGCACTTTCTCCAGCACAAAACGCTGCTGTTCTGCACTGTGAATTCTGATGGAGCCACCTCCAACCTCATTGCCATTCAGCACAAGGTCGTAGTGCTGGCTACGGACCTGCAGAGAGACAGGGACAGGCACTCTGTGAGGCTGGCCCACAGCTGCACCTAGAAACAACCTGCACAGATTCAAAGACACTGGGAATGAAGCCCTGGAAGGTGTAAAACTGCTCTCTCAGGGGTATATTGCAATTTAGGTATCAGTCCTGCTGGAGGAATGGGGTGCCTCTGACTGTTGTGGGAAGAGAATAAATCCTTTTGAAAGGTTTATCAAACCTGAAGCAAATGAGATAGGTCAGAATGTAAGATTTTGGTTTTCTGTCAGCTCCTTTTGCTGGGGCACATGTGAATATTTGCTATTTGCAGTAATCAGGAAGTCATCCCTTCCAGCCACATGCAAGATCATAGAATGGTATGGGTTGGGAGGGACCTTAAAGATCCCCTAGTTCCAACCCTCTGCCATGGGCAGGGACACCTTCCACTACCCCAGGTTGCCCCAAGCCCTGCCAGCCTGGCCTTGAACACTGCCAGGGATGGCTCAGCCACAGCTGCTCTTGGCAATCTGTGCCAGTGCCTCACAGGGAAGATTTTTATCCTGATACCAATCTAAGTCTACCCTCTTTCAGTTTAAAACCATTTCCCTTTGTCCTATCACTGCTTGCCCCTGCAAAATATCCCTCTCCAGCTCTCTTGTAGCCTCTTTAAGCACTGGAAAGGACTCTAATGTTGCTCCTGAGCCTTCTCTTCTCCAGGATGAACAACCTCAGCTCCTTCAGCCTTAACTCACAGCAGAAGTGCTCCAACCCTTTGATGATCTTAGCAGTCACCTCTGGACTCATTCCAACACATCTTCCTTGTGCAGTCAGTCCCATGAAACAACACCTCTTTTTACACTAAACCCAGCTGCTGCTAGCCTGGTTTTCCATGTAAAAGAGCCAGGCATGAAGTTGGTTACCTTTGTGGGATCAGAATACAGGAGGCTGACATCTGAAGGATGAGGGGCAGTGAAGGGGTGATGAGCAGATTCCAGCTCAGTGGGATTCTCAGCCTTGGGGAGGAAGAGGGGGAAATCCACCACCCAGAGGAAGTGAAAGGCTGTGGGATCACGGAGTGCCAGCCCAGCTGCCTCCAGGAGGTTGGCACTCAACAAGCGCAAGGCTCCTAAGGCAGAGCACTGCAACAGAGAGAAGGGAGAGATCAGCCAGGGTGGTTTCACCGTCAGGAACTCACTCAAACACCCACCAGGCAGCGTGTTCCATGAAGGAAGTACCACAGACAGCATCAGCTGGAATGCATTGCTGCCTTGAAGACTTTAGCCTCATATTCTGAAATGTATCACCTTCCTACCGAGGCAGCAGCAGCACCAGGGTTTGACAGACACCAAGTAAGGAGCTTGGAAGTTCATGTTTTTCCAGCTATTTCATCTCCAGAACTTTCTTAGACTAACCTGGATAAACTGGGGGACCACATGTAAGACCCACACTTTGCAGACTGAGAAATGAAGAGAATGCAACAAAATGTTGGCTATTGAGCAAAGCATGACATTTTATAATAAAACAATGCTTTGTTTTATTGTTTTATTTCTCTCTGCTCTTGCCAGTAACATCTGCTGGCAAGAACAGAGAGAAGGGTAGAAACAGAATCTCCCACCATTGCTGCTAATAAGTCATGCACTTGTGGGAGACACAATTACCTAGTTGACCTCATTTTCCAATCTGTTTGATGCTTCAAAAATGAAGTTAAAAAAAAAGAAGGCACTGATTTGTTGCAGGGTTTTTTACATTTCAGGCTTCATTTAAGTTACAAGTCCTGCCTAGAATTTGACTGGGGGCCATGAAAGTAATAGGCACATTTCATGCTTTATCTGCTGTTGCTATAGCTGCCGTTCCAGAGAAAGAGAAAATTAAATGATGACCTATTTTAATAACAAGAAGAATCAGACTGAGGTCAGATAACATCAAAACCATCATCAGCAACATTCAACCCACAGAGCCACCCAAGAAAAGCCTCCTACCACTTGCTTGTGCTCTCCAGCTGCCAGCAGCACCACGTCACCCTCCTGCATGTTCAGTGCTTGGATGAGCTCTGACTGCTCCTTCTCACTGAGGAACTTGGTAAGCAGAGATTTAAAGCTTCCATCAGGTCTGCAGATAATTTCCATGATTTCCTGGAGAAAGGTTATGTTCAGTGCAGTGCTGCCCTCTCTTGACTTGAAGCATTACATGCTCAGGCTCTCTCAGCTATTAAAAACTGCTCTCCTACCTCCCTCTGCCTTTATCACACTTTGTCACTCACCCTTCCCAAAGCCTCAGGAGAGTTTCTGTCTCACCTGGTTAAACTGGGATTTTGCAGACTCCTTCAATGATCCCAAGTCTTTATTTGTAAGATACTTCTGGGGAAAGAGCAAGAGAAGACACAGCAAAGATCAGCTTGGAAAACCTGACTAGATATCAAATCTACTGATTAAGCTGCTTGCAAACATCTCAATTCTTTTGTTTCCAGCTCAAGTTCTTATGAAGGCTGTGGAACAGGACAGGGTCCTTAGCACTGAGCTGGGTGTCTGCTCTGAGGGCTTCTTTCAGGAAAAGACCCCTCCAGATCTACACATTTTTTTCCCCCTCTCACAAATAAATGTATCTGGTCAGCAGGGTCAGGTCACTGCCTCCAGCCTGCAGAAACAAGGTTACACCACCACACTGTGGATGGGGAATGCAGAGCTCAAACTGGAGGAAGAACAGAGACAAAACAACTGGGCTGACTCTTGCATGCAAAGCCATGCAGTAAATGAGGAGCTGCAATAAGATCTTGATTATTTTTCATCTACTCCAGTGTTAAGGGTCGGTCTAGATGACACTTTTGTGTTGCTCTAACAAACACATCTGTGCCCTCTCGTGGGAAGCCACTAACTTGCACTTTGTGCCAAACTGAACGGAATCCCAAAGGAAACCATGGCCACGAAGCCCTGCTCCCCAGATAAAACTCAATATTTAGAGGATTTGTTTTTTCCATACTGCCCAAGCTACAAAGATGTCTACAGCCCGAATTAAATCTGTTTCCTTGCCAAAATGCAGGACTGTGTCAAAAGTCTTCCACATCTATTATAAACCTTGATTTTGGTCCATGACAAGACACAAATTGTACCCAAAAATGCAGCTAAAGCAAACAAGAGAAGAACCACCTGATCCTTCTCTGCCTATCCCAGAGCTGTGCCACACTCAGCCCCGAACCAGGACAAATCTCCTGTCACAAGGCACAATTTATTATTGAGATGCACATCAAAAAACTGATAAAAAGCAAGGTGAGACCTGAGAGGGTTCCCTATCCTCATGGGATCCTGCAGCTCTGTTGTTTTCCTCCTCTTCCTAAGAATAAAATACTCTCCCTGTTGTCTTTTTATTCTAATTCCACTCAGCCCCACCTAACATGGAGTACAACCAATCCCAAGCTCCCTTAAGAACACCAGAAATAGCAAGGAACATTTCCATACCAACAAAGGAATTCAAATTAGCATTTTATTTATTCCACACAAACCATAAACAGGATGTAAGAGCATCACTTACCACTCCCTGAGGGATACAAATGGCTCTGATGGAGCCATGTGGGTAACTGAGGGCATTCTGCACAAAATGAATGTTTGATCCTCGTAAAACCTCACTGACATCCACGATCTGACAAAGGAGAGAGCACAGGAAAAAGCACTGCTGGTAGGAATACAAAGCAAAAATTCCTGCATCTGTGTCTTAACACCTTCAACACTATTCCCTTTGAGAAGATTTTGCTTTTAAAATAGTCAAGATACATTGCTCCCTACATCACCTTTAAAATCAAGTTTTATTAGAACATATATTTTTCACAGCCAACTGATTAAATCCTCTCTTTTTCAGCAGCAACAATGGAACTGGCACCTTGGGTAAATTACAGCACTCAAAACTCCAGCCAACCATGTATCCATGACCCAAAGGTTATTAAAGCACTGACTGAAAGGAAAAGTTGCAAGCTTCCAATAGGCAAACCCTCACCTTCATCCCAAAGCGAGTGTCTGGTTTATCAGTCCCATACTCAGCCAGTGCCTCCTCATAGGTCATGGAAGGGAAAGGAGTCACAATGGAGCCTCTTTCCTCAGGCCAGGAATGTTGCAGGAGGCCCTCTATGAGCCTCTGGATCCCAGCTTGATCTATAAATGACATCTCTATATCTATCTTAAAACAGAGAACAAGGGGGGGAATTCCACATTAGCTACAGGTTGTGCTTTCATGGTGCTTCTTGTGAGTACACAGCCAGCAGAACAAGAAACAATGCACAAAATGACATCACAGCATGACTGCATTAGGCCAGGAATGTGTTTAGGATCACCCTCCAGGCTGATGACTCAGCCAACAGCCTCCTCAGAGAGTGAATGAGGTAAGGATGACAAGGACACAGAAGCAGCCTTGAGTGAACCAGGCTAACTCAGCCTGGGATTTCAAGGCTAAGGAATGGGATGTCTGCCCTAGCAGGACAGGAGGAGATTGTATCATCACAGTAAAATCACTGCCGCAATGCAATTCCCACATCTGCACCTGGGGCACTGCAGCAGCCAAGGACAGGAACCACGCACTCATCCCACACCACTTTCCAAGGCTGTGCCTGTGAAACACACACCAAAGCAGCACCAAACTAGCACAGACTAAGCCTCCAGAAGGGAAAACAGCTCTGAGCCACTTGGGGTGAGGAGCAGCAGCAAGGCAGCAGAGGCTGGTGATTACCTGGGTGAATTCTGGCTGCCTGTCAGGCCGTGAGCCCTCGTCCCTGTAGCAGCGAGCGACCTGGAAGTACCTGCAGTGACACTGTGACTTAGATCATGGTTTAAAGTACCCTCAACTCAACTGTGGCTATAGAACTGAGCACACAAAGAGAAGGAAAAAAGAAGTAAAGCAGAAAGAGAGGGCTTTGCTCCCACAGCAGATGATCTTTGTTCCCACCCCTTCAAAAGAATGGAATCATAACGAGCAGTATCCATCTCCATATCTTCCAGAGGCACTGGAGACTGCCAGGTGAGCTGTCCCCCAAGGGCAGCACACTCAACTCTTTATTTCCCCTCCCACTCCACTCCAGGACTCTCCTAACAGCCATGCAAAGCTCTCAGACAAACCTGGCCTGCAGTTCACTGTGTGAACAATTGTCTGTCTCCCCGTTCATCCATTTAATTTGGAGAAGTAAGCTCAATTAAAAGCTTTGCACTTGGGCACCCTGACATGCTTTTCCTTGTCTCAGTCATGCTCAGCTGCCCAGCCTCACCTCAATTAATTCTGTAGGTTACTCCTGGAGCAGCTTTCATCACACATTAAATTTTCTGCCCTTCAGGAAGGCTCTGCTTCAGATCAGGTTTGCATTTAACACAGCAGTAAAGATTTCAGCTTTCCAGAAGGATACATTTCATCTGACTGTAAAGTCTTAAATACTTAAGGATCTCTCTTCAAGACACAAATCCTTGCCAGTGTGGTTTTTTTAGGGAAGTTTCTAAACTTCAAAGATAAAGCAATCAAACCCTAGAAGGACATGCAGAGAACAGGAGTTCAAGAAACTCTTACCTGTCCAGGCCTCCAACCATGAGGAGCTGCTTGAACTGCTGAGGACTCTGTGGCAGAGAGTAGAACTTGCCTGCTTCCCTCGAGGGCACAAGGAATTCTTTGGCTCCCTGGCATCAGAAAGAAAATTTACAGAGTTCAGCAAGTAAGTGGCCCCAATTCCTGACAGAGCAAAAGGAAAGGACCTATTTCTCCCATTATGAAATCCCACATGTGAGGAATTGGCTGTTTGTACATAACACTTCATATCTGTTAAGCAACTTGGTCCAAAATATCTGAAAGGAGAATTCTCTGCCTTCTTCTCTGAGAGCCTAATGCATAATAGCCCATCCAAGACTGGGGTTTAAATGCAAGAACTCCAGGGTAGCTGCATCAACAATTCCTCAGCTACAGCTCTCTTCTCTCTATTTTTGAAATGAAAGAAATGAATATAAGATCAAAAATTTAATTTACTTGAGTATGATCTCTACAATAACCTACTGGTTAAGAGATAAATGCTGAAAAGACGGTGCTTTCAAGATTTTTGGGTTTATAATCCCAGGGTAGACTTGCATTCAACATGTGCTCTACAAGGCAGAAGCTAATCTTGTTTGAAGGTTCAAAATTAAGACATGAATTATCATCTCTCCCCTTTCTCTCCCTCTACTTTTAAAAGAATTTGTGGAGGATATCAGAAGTTTCACAAGCTGTTATTTAGCAAGGGAAAAGCAACGAATGCTGAGTGGCAAGTGGAAATGATTCAGCCCTGACTGTGCAGCTGTAGGAGGCCAAAAAGCATCACATACATACCCCTGGGGTTCTTTTAAACAGAGTTGGAGTTTCTACATCCACAAACCCTGGGGAACAAACACAGAATATGCTGAGAGAAGGGAGAACTAACATGACAGAGTAGGCTAGAGTAGGGTTAGTCAGCAAAATAGGTTGTGCAGCACACCATGGAGCCTCTCCAAAATCAACACACTTTACTATTTCTAATAATTATTCCTGTAATGACAGATCTAAAGGCTCTGAGCTACTCTGATGTCCTGCCAGAACTGTTGATGACAGAGGACTCCAAACAGGCTAAAAATGTGTTAATTCTCTATCTAGTCTAAACCAAGCACTGATTTTCCAAAATGCACATCCTGATTTTAAGAGAAGCAGAAGCTCTAAACAAAATCCATCCCTCTGACACGCCTCTGACCAAAAGAGGGCAACGACCTGCAAAGTGTCTTTTCTCATTGAAAACAGCTAATTTCAAACAGGTTGCCCAGAGCTTCATCCAGCCTAGCCTTGAACACTTCCAGGGATGGGGCAGCCACAACTTTTGTGGGCAGCTTCTTCAGGCCTGATGAAGAAGTAGCACCCACCCCACCATAAGCAGACATTTCCTTATTAAGTGTGACCAGTTTGGAGCAGCAAGTTGGTTAGGAATCTCTGCCAGCACAAGGAAAAAGCAGCAGGGAGAGCTGGAATGTCTTGAGTTTGTGAGGGTCCCCAGGACAAGGTGAGAGATGAGAATCTGACTCCATGTTCTCAGAAGGCATATTATATTATATTCTATTATATTATACTATACTATACTATATTATACAATACTATATTATACTAATACTATAATAATACTATATTATATTATATTGTACTATATTATACTATATTGTACCATATTACATTATACTATATTATACTATACTATATTATACTATACTATATTATACTAATACTATAATAATACTATATTATATTATATTATATTGTATTATATTATGCTATACTAAAACTATACTAAAAAAAGGATATAGACAGAAGGCTTAACAAGAATGAGAATGAAAAACTCGGGACTGACTCCTCAGAGTCAGTTGATGACAGAGGACTCCAAACAGGCTGAAAATGTAATTCTCCATCTGAAATGTCAATTATCTCGACACAGATGATGGTGATTGGTCATTAATTAAAAACAATTCACATGAAACCAATCCAACATGCACCTGTTGCATAAACAATCTCCAGCCACATTCCAAAGCAGAGAAACAGGGAGAAGCGAATGAGATAATATTGTTTTTTCTCTGAGGCTTCCATTTTCCCAGGAGAAGCAATCCTGGTGAGGGGATTTTTCAGAAGACACGACAGTGGCAGGAATGTTTGCTGCTCCAAGCAGCTCCCTCACCGTGCAGGTTGCAGAGGTACTCGCGCATCCTCATCACCACGCGGGAGCGCAGCCGTAGCGCCCACTGCAGCCGGGAGCTGCGCAGGTCCAGGTACCGATACTGCATCCGCAGCGCCTCCGACTTCTGGGGACGAGACAGGGGCAGGGTTAAGGACAAAATTTTAAGGACAAAATTCAAACTGCATGGCCAGTGAAGGGATCCTAAAGCCACAGAGAAAAAGGAGAAGATAAATAAATGGGTGACGCTCGGTTGCTGCGATGAGCCCGTTACGCACAACCTACACAAATATGGCAATTGGTTGGAAAAAAACCCAAACTGCCCACAGAAGCTGGGGCTGCCCCATCCCTGGAAGCGTTCAAGGCCAGGCTGGATGAAGCTCTGAGCAACCCTACCCATGGCAGGGGATTTGGAAAAGGATGATCTGTAAGGTTCCTTCAAACCCAAACCATTCTGGGGTTCCACGAATCAAACAAAACAGCCCCATTTCAAACTCAAAAACCCAGCATAGCCCTATGTTGAAGCTTGCAATGCAAGATGTTTTCAGTTACCATCTGTATGGTAATTGAAAACATTTGTCTTTGTCAAGTGGGCAGTTTGCTTTATCTCTCTCTTTGAGTGACCACAGTCACACCTCCCTGGGAGGGGACATTGCTGATAACAGACTATTGAATGTCCCTGCATGGCTGATAAGAACTGCAGCATCCCATTGGGAGATGTGAGCCCAGAGGGAGGAGCCAAGCATTCCTACCTGGATATAATCTGAGGTTTCAAACATTCCTACCTGGATATAATCTGAGATTTCAAACATTCCTACCCAGATACAATCTGAGGTTTCAAACATTCCTACCCAGATATAATCCAGAGGTTTTTGAGACACCAGCACGGCTTCTCCACTGGATTCCCCAGAGGAACAGCAGCTGCCTCTCCTTCCACTGGATCTTCAGAGGAAGAATCCATCCTTCTCTGCAGATCCCTGCTCCAACAGAACCACCCCTGACACTGCAGGAGGGCTGCAGCCACAATTCCAATGGGACTGCCACCAACACCCTGACCCACAGGGTGTCAGGCTGGGTTCTGACTCTGTCAGTGTCGTTCCAGTGTACTGCATTGTTTATTTTATCCTTTATTTTTTCTTCTCTATTAAAGAACTGTTATTTCCTGCTCTCATATTTTTGCCTGAGAGCCCCTTAATTTAAAATTTATAGCAATTGGGAGGGGTGGGGAGGGTTTACATTCTCCATTTGAGAGGAGGCTCCTGCCTTCCTTAGCAGTTTCCTATCTTTCCAAACCAAGACACCCCATTTCTTTCACTCTTTCCTTTGCCATCAGTGCTTCCAGAAATCTGGAATCATTAAAGTCCTGTTTTCTACTTAGCTGTAATTGGAAATAAATCCTCCCAGCAAACAAACACCACCTCTGTTTTAAATACCATCATTCCTCCCAAGTGAAGTGGGGAGAACCAGACACAGCTCTCAGATGTTTTGCCATCACCCTGGGCAAATTCCCAATTTAGTGAAAAGCCACCACGCTGATAAGAAAAGCATACCTTGATAAAATCCTTGATTTCAAAAGGCAGCTTCTTGCAGGAGTTTAGGATCTCTGCAGTCTCTGCCTTCACTTCAATATCCCCTGTTGGCATTTTCTAGAACAAAAAGGCAAAAAAATTAAAACTCAAAACAGTTGGAAAAAGGTATTTCACAGATGCTCAAAGGGAAAAAAAGAAACAATGTGATTACCCTCCCTGCCTTCGAACACAGTGTACAAATCAGAGTGTTTTTCCCAAGGACAGATTTCTTCCAGGTTTCCCTTCTGTTCAGAGAAACACAAGCCACCTGACCAAAGATGGCAGCTTCTTTCCCAGTAGCATACTGGTTAATAAACACATCAGTCCCAGCAAAACCACACAGTGTAAGTTTCAGTGAACATGAGCAGCAGCAGCCCTTAATATGAGTCAAAAAAGGCAAATTTGAGGAACTTCTCAGAACTTCCAGTTCTAAACATCAGTTCTCAGAACTGGTATTCTTTTGACTCCATCCCCAGGGAGGACAGGCAGCTCCCCTCACGTAGCACTGAGGCACAGCAAAGTTCACTTGATCCTGCAGGACTCTCACTATTTACCAGGGGAAAGGACACACAGCCCTCCCAAAATAAAGAAATTAATAAAAGAAATAAAGGCATTGCTTGAAGCCTCGATTTTAAGTGGACATCTAAAAGACAGAGCAATAAGGAGCTATGATCATAAATACAATCCTCTTTTTATACCTGCCAGTTACATGCACAGTCCTGAAAGATCATTCTACAGCTGATGACAATGACAACTGAGGAATGCAGAACATTAAAAAATTATTCAACCTCTGTTCCCTATACATAGGATTTTCCTACAGCAGAATATTCCTATTCTGCTGGGAGACCAGCAGAATCAATAAACAGGTGGAACTCGACATGACAATATTTATTTTCAAGCAAAAGCAATTCCCACCACACTTTGAAAGCCTGGAAAATCCAGCTTTATCCTTGCAAAGGGCTGGGATCCAGTTTAATTTGTGTGTGCCTGTAATGTGCTCTGAGATTCTCCTGTTATCTGACATAGTGTGAGGTGACACCAGTGCTATCTGAGGATGGGCTGTCACACAAGCAGAATCTGTGACAATGCTCTGACACAAAGCCCACCATAATCCCACCATTCAGGGGTGTTTCCTTCAAGGAATAAAAACTCTGGGAGTCTCCCTGACCCCATCCTCACCGGATTCTCCTGCCCCTGGGGCCGGGGGGACACTGTCCCAGTGACTCTGACCACAGACTCCAGTGGGGCGTTGGACAGCAGCTCCTTCACGTGGGAATGTGCCTGCAGGGAAAGGACACAGCCTCAGAGGAACTCCAAGAACAGCACAAAGGCACTGGGGCCAAGCAACTAAACCCAAAATCACTCTTAAGGCAAGGGGAACAGCGCTGATGCTTCTGTTGCAGGGTCAGGTCAGGGCTCTCACGACGCTGCAATCTATTTGTGAGTCAGAGCACTCAGTTTGGCAAAGTGGCTGCTGAAGCCAAGCTTCCAAAGGAAAAATAAAAACACAGATTCATGTTTTGGTAGCACTTACCTCATCCTGAGGAATGATGACCTGGGTGAGTCCCTGGAAATCCCTCAAAACCAGAAACAGGCCTTGTCTGATCCATGAAAAGCACAAAAGGAAGAACATTTTATTCACAGATTTGGCAGTTTCTGCTTTTTAAAGCATATGGCAACTGGCTACACTTTCAGTACCCTGCAACTCATCCCAAAGCACTTCCAAGTACTGAATGATGGACACTTTCCCCACACCTGAACAATTCATTTCACCTTGTGATCAGCCTCACACAACATACAAATAACCAGGTGAAGCAGAATTTTAACTTGAGCTTTCATGCATACAGAGCTGGGGTTCCAGACATGTGAATTTTCCTGCTGGGAAACATCATTCAGTTAAAAACAAATGAGCAAAAAAACCTAAAGTTCACGTGGAATAAAAACAACAACAACAAAATCCAATCATAAGTCAAGAAGGGGAACACTCATCCCATAAAAAATTCCACATGAACAATCCACACTGCCAGAACCATAAACCTTGATTTGTTCAAGCTGCAGCAGGGACAGCTGCCACTGTGCTTTATCCATCAAAAAACTGCCCAATGGGACATGCTCTGCTGTCTTTAAAAACAAGATCACCACGACCACATTACAATAATCCTAACTCCTTTTCCTGGGTCCCCATCCACAACTGCTCAAAGATGAGACGCTCAGGACCTCCTAAAATCAAAAAACCCATGCAGACCATCACTGGAGAGCAATGGTGCATGAAACACAGCTTAGAGTGGATGTGACAAATAATCATCTCCATTTTCACCATGGTTTGCACTTACCTTTGATACTGAACCCACCCATACAGGGTCACCTTCTGTCCCACGTGAGCAGCACGCAGCTCTCCACACGTGTTGGTCCGAGCGACAAAACTGTTGAAGTCTTAAATAAATTAAAAAAAAATTAAAAATATATATATTATATATATACATAATCTCTCATAGTTTTTGTAGATGAAACAGAATTAAATTTGTACATATATGGAGAAGTTACTTCTTATCTAGATCTGGACTATGTTTATGTCATAAACATGAAATTAAGCTAATCTAAATGCAATTTAAACAGGGATTTTTTCTGTTTCTCAGTCCATAAAGATACTTGACCACAGCCTTGCTGCAAACTGTTTCCCTGCATATTTTAAGAGCAAGAGAAGCAAAAGTCACAGATCAATCCTAAGGGGTGCTGACAATTCCACATTTAAATCCAGAATCATAGAACAGTTTGGGTTTCCAGGACCTTAAAGCTCATCTCATTCCACCACTCTGCCACGGGCAGGGACACTTTCCACTATCCCAGGTTGTTCAGAGCCCCATCCAGCCTGGCCTTGGACATTTCCAGGGATGTGGCAGTTCCTCTCAGCAAGACCAGGACCTCACCACCCTCACAGGGAAGAATTTCTTCCAATATCCAACCCAAACTTGCCCTCCTTCAGCTCAAAGCCATTCCCCCTTGTCCGGCCACTGCAGTTCCTAGCGGTGATAGAGCAGAACAGGGCTTAACAAACCAAGAATTCAACACACACGGAGGACACTCACCATGGAGGTGTAAATTTAATAGCTCCTGCCTGAAACAACTGGAACAAGGCCTCAACAATGGTTACAGAAAGGTTTGCACAGACCCCCGTGTGCCAGTAATTATGGCCTAAGTCACAGATCCATTCACAACCACTTAAACAATGTGCAAGAGGCTCGGTTTGCAAGGAGAAGCCTGAAGGATACCAATACCTGGTCTTATATAAATAACTCTTCATGATCGCCTTTAGAATTAGAAGAGATTTACAAGACACTTAGTAAACTGATACAGGAAAAATAACTTGCGATATTAATCGATTCTGGGGACCACCCTGACCTGTACCCCGGGAGAAAAGGCACCCAAACCTCGAGGGGCCGGGACCAGCGCTCCTCCTCACCTGGAGCCGCAGGTGCGGCGGCAGCGGCCGCCCGGTGCAGCGCTCGCACCAGCAGCCGGGGTAGCGCCATCCCCAGCCGCCCCTCAGCCTGAAACACGGGGAGGAGCGCCGCGGGCCTGCGCGAAGCGAAAATCGTGAGCTCCAGAGGGGAAAAAAGGGAAAGCACCGCCGCCTCCTTCCCTCAGCGCCGCCCGCCCCAAAGATGGCGGAGGGGCGCGCCCCCCGCGCTGGGGCTGACGGGAAGAAGTTCGAACGGCGCCGGCGGGCCGCGGCGGCCATGGCGGAGGAAGCGCCCGAGGACGGCGCGGTGCGAACCCTGCCCAGCCTCAGGCGGCTCTCCCGGGCTCTGCCCTTCGGACGGAGCCATGGCCGCCTCACTGTGCCAGCGCTGTGCTCTCAGGTACGGGGAGGCACGGGTGGTGGCACCTTCGTGTTTCCTCCGTGTTCCCTCCGTGTCCCCTCAGCCGCGCTGCGCCGCGCGGGAAAGTCAAACTTGAACCTTATTCCTTTTGTTTTGTTTCCCCGCTAGGAAAAGGCGGACCCGCAGAAAACAGCGTTCGTGCTGCGGAAAGCCTGGACGCTGTACAGCGTGACCCCTCTGTACGGCTTCCGCCGCGCCCGCCTCAGGGACTACGCGCGGCTGCTGGGCGCCTTCATCGCCGCCGAGAAGCAGAAGGGGCTGGCGGTGGAGGTGGGCGTCGAGCTGGACATCAAGGTGGCCCTGTCCAGCCTTGCCGACATCAGGGGCAGCGAGCTGGACCAGGCTGCCCTCCTCGTGCAGGTGAGGGCGCTGGTTTTGTTCTGATGGAACGCTCTGTCTTGAAAGGAAGCCCCGAAGTTAAACGCTAGCTGTGTGGAATAGCTAGTGGGGCATCCACTGTGGTTTAATGAAACTGAATCGTGTCTATTTTTAAGTGAAACTGAACATTTATAGGCTTAAGCTGTGCCAGGGCAGGTTTAGGTTGGACATTAGGAAGAATTTCTTTACAGAAAGGATGATTAGACATCGGAATTGGCTGCCCTGGGAGGTGGTGGAGTCACCGTCCCTAGAGGTGTTTAAGCTAAGACTGGATGTGACACAGTCAAAAGCCTGGTCTAATGACAAGGTTGAGCTTGGTCACAGGCTGGACTTGATGGTCTCAGAGGTCTTTTTCAGCCTAATTGATTCTGTGATCTCCCCTAAGCAATGCATACAATAAAGAGCAAGTTTGAGTTCAACTTTTTAATAGCATCTATATAGTTAAACAGCAGCAATATCTATCTGTATTCTACAGTACAACTATACATAGCAATCTCTGTCTGATGTTTTAGCTCAGCAGTCAATTTACTGCCAGGACTTGGATGGGTTATTTTTCTTCCTGGATAAAGCATAATCCCACTTCCTGAGCAGAACTTAATATTTCTGAAATGCTTTGCTTCAAGTGGAATGTGCTACTGAAATGTCAGGTTCATTGTGGCAATGGTTGTAGGATGTACCATGGGAGTTAAGCAGCAGAAACTCAGATCTCAGGACTGTTCCTAAGGAATTTAAAAGTGCTTTTTCTGCTGTTTTCAACATAATTGCATTGAGCTTTTAGAGATGTCATGGATAGACTGAATAATTATATATGTTTGACACAAGGCAAAAAAAAAACCACTTGTAAAAAAGTCTTAAAACTTTAAATCAGTATCTGTTTTTAGCTGATGAAAAAAAAAAAAAAGCCATACTTGCTTTGCAGCATTGCAATGCTTCTTCTCCCCATCACAGCTCTCCTCGAGGTCACGAAGCTCCTCCAGGAACTCTGAGGACAAACCCGTGTGGCTGGGCTGGTTCTGCTCCGTGTTTGGAGACGAGCTTTCCGAGAGCGTGCCCGAGCACTTCACCTGCCTGCCCCTGTTCCTGAGCCACGGCGCCGAGAGCTACACGGCCCTGGTGGGCAGCTGGTTCCAGAAGACTTTCGACTGCTGCTTCCGCCGCCTGGCCATCAGCCCCCTGAACCTCAGCTGGATGGTGGCCATGTGGGCTGGCTGCAAGCTGGACAGAGCTGCCTCAGCCGTGGAACTCGTCTTCTCCGTGCCCCGCCTGGCGCAGCCGCTGGATATTTCCTACGCCATCCACCCGGAGGATGCCAAAGCTCTGTGGGACACGGTGCAAAAAACGCCGGGAGAGATCACCCACGAGGAGGTGGATGTCTTCATGGACTGCCTCTATGCTCACTTCCACAGGCACTTCAAGATCCACTTGTCAGCTGCGAAGCTGGTGAAGATTTCCACAGCCATTGCCTCGGCACAGTGTGATGGGATTGTAAAGGTGAGGCCCTTAGGAGCAGGTTGTTCTAATGCTGGCCAAATTAAACAGCTGTACCTGAAAGTCTCATGGTTCTTTTGCATGATTTCCTACAAGGAATTGTTAAACCCTCAGTTTTAGAGGGTGGGCAGCTGCCAGCACAGTATTATATTACTGTGTTGCAGCAGAAGCTACTTGCCTGGAGCAGAAATAGGTGTGTATTAGCTGTGGTATGAACAGGAAAGTTTCTTAGGCCATAAAAAAAGTCATTTTGGACTTAAAAAGATCCCAAACTTCACAAAAAGTTCCTAGCTTTCTAGTATTGTAGTTATTAAGACATTGGCAGAAGACTCCTTGACATGTAAACCTTTTCATAAAGGTGCTGGTCTTTCTACAGAGGTTATCTCCAATACCCTTCAAACCACAGAATATTAATTCTTCAAGCAATACAATATTTTCTTCTGGGTTAAAGAACAGTTTGTGTAAATGCAGTTGTTTAAAATTAACCTATGATGGGACTTGGCACATTGTGCAAATGCAGTTGTTTAAATTTACCCTATGATGAGGAGCACATTGCTTGCTTTTATCGGTAATAGCTTAAAACTGCCTGAAACAAGTTTTCCTGTTGCAGTTAAGCACACAGAGATATCTCAGGCTTTCTGAAGGGTGCTGCTGTGGAATGTGTGCTGTGTAAATTCAGATATGGCTTTTCATAATGGGATAGGATTCAAGTCATATGCAGTATGGGAGAAGTAAAGCAACAACAGAGCAGCTGAATAAACACACAGAACACTTGGTAGTTTCCTTCCAAGCAGGGCTTGAGGGTGTGGAAATCTGGCAAATGCAATTGTTGCTTTGACAAGCTTTTTTCTCTTTTTTTTTTTTGCAGATTCTACACAGCCAGTACCTGCCTGGAGTGCTGATGCTATTGACTGAACTTGCAATCTCTCAGATACAGTGAGAGCCATTTCAGTAGCTCTTCATACTCAAAAGGCTTTCTGTTTGGACAGTCTGTGCTGAGAAACCCCCAGGAAACTCACTCCTGCAGCATCTTCTTTCCTCTCATTCTGGCTGACTTTGGACAGACTGTACCTCCAGCACTTGGCTGTGTAATTCCACTCACAGCAAAGTCAAGCAGACATTTGGCCCTGAAGAAGGGCTGCAATGCAAACTTGTGGCAGCTTCCTGAGCAGCTTTGTTTTCTCAGAGTCACTCATTTCATTTATGAGCAGCTATCAGCTCAGAGACAAACAGTGCAAGGTCTTGGTGCAACTCCCTGGCAGGTATTTCTGTTGTTTCTAAGTTGGTTTTCACTGGACAGCCTAAACTGTGACTACTCTTGGGCTACTCTAAATGCAAAGTTCAGCACACCTGAGAAAGGGTGCATGCTGTACAATCCAAGGCAGAAAAATCCAGGTTTCTAACTCCTTTTTTAGCTTGTTAAGGGTACTTGGTAATGGTGATAATGTTCATTTATGTTCCAGTTGGGCATGAAATTGGACATGTCAGCCTGCTGGTCCTCCCAGGCACATTGACAGATAGGAAAGTGTGGATAAGCTTGATAGTTACTGGGCTTTGTCCTGATGTTTGTAATCTTGGATGTAATCCTGTAGGCCAGAGAGCTCTCAGGGTTGGAGCTGTGTGCTAGAATTTGATGTTGAATCCCTCCCTTCTGAAGCAGGTTAGAGGTCAGAGGGACATTTAAGGAACAGAAAGCAGCACCTGCTGAGAGATTTTTGTAATACAGTACTAAATAAAGAAAGTCTTTTCCATCTTTTTTTCTTAAGGAAAGACCACCACTGTCTAATTAAATATATCCTTGCATGGAGCTTATTTCCAATTACAGCTTACCTGACCAAACCACCCCTTGTTACTTATTAAATGCTTCTGTGAGCAACAAAATTCCAAGTCTAATTTCTTGCTTCACACTTGTGCAGCACCTCTGGGAGCTGATTTGTACCATGACCTTCTCCTAAATAGGGGTGCAAGTTTCCTTTCTCTTCCCAGTGTAAAACTGCCTAACACATGACATAACTGCATGCCTAGTTCCCAACCTGTTTCCAGAATTACTTGGTTTCAGATTCTTTACTAGTTGAAGATGGATTTTTTTTGCATGTTAAGGCTGAAGTCTGTAATTCTTACCCTGGTAAAAGCAGCTAAGTGATCTTCTGAAGGTCCTGACAGCTCAGCAGCTATTTAAACAATCACTTCTGGTGCTTTAGTTTCCTTATTAGAAATATCTCAGACAAAGTTTGCTCTCTGGAGTCAGAAGAGCATTGGACAAAGGAGTAGAAGGTCTGGAAGTAACTGGCACCTGTATTTGGTTTGAAAATAGGACTGTTACACCCAGGGCTAAGTTTTAAATCTAATGCTCAGCTCTTTCCAACAAATTTGCATAAATAATCTCTAAAAACCTAAATTCTTACAGCCTCTTTTAACCCCTTCCTTGAGCTGTCCTCATTGTTAAATGAGCAGAGATGAGATTGAGCAGATAGCACAGATACTTCCTTCCACAAAAAGCTGGCTCACAGTGATGTGAAGGGTAACAAGAAACAGCAGAGTTTTAAGCCTCTTTTACTGGAATTTATCTGGGGAAAAAAAACTCCTCCAGCATCTTTGTCCATATAAACCACAGAAAAACACCTCCCACTGCTTTCATTCACCCCAAGGAACAAACCAAGAACAGCGTAGAAGAAATTTATTAAGATAGCACTATTTATACAAGTTACTCATGCTAGAAAAAAGCATAAATGATACATGTAAACATTTGTTTACAGAATACTTGTTTTCCTTGTAAAGGTGCAAATGATCTTCATATGTAAACACAAGAATACCGACCTTTAGGGGGGAAGGGGTTTTTATAAAAGTTTTAATGTCCCATTTATGACTGTAGTGTATTTTTTACTAT